GTTTGAAGCGCTCTTCAAAGGAATCATTTCAGTTGAAGATAAGATGGAAAAACTATTGAAAATCGAGAAAGAAAATACGAGAAAGCCTGTAATAATCTTGACATCTATATCAGTGGTTTTCTGTTGTATGGTTCTGACCGAATACGTATCCTATAAAGCATACTTTAAGAGGCTGTATAAAGATAGAATTTTAGAAATGCAGATGTTGTGGGCTCTATACTCGCTGGTCGTGTATTATGGCATTTTGATATCGAGTTTTAACATGACACAATTGACACTGATGGTCAGAAATCAATATGCTAATATAATATTAGTTCTAAATCAGATTGAAACAGTTGATTTAAACAAAGAAGAAATATTTGGGATTATCCAGAACGTGGATGACTTGTTTTTTGATATTTACAGTACTGGAAATATCTTTAAATCGATTTATTCTGTCCAGATGCTGATGAATGTTATTTCTTCGTTTGTGTTTGCGCATTTTTATTCGGTGTACTTGGCGCATCTGGCTTCAATCACAGTTGTTTCTGTAGTTTTTTCCACCTTATATTCGGTAAGTTTATAATAATATATTGACGGTCATAAAAAAATTAAAGGATCATTGGAGGACTACTAAAATCATAAATTAAAATTATTTTTAAAAAGTACAGAGTGTCCCAAATAAATAAAAAAATATCAAAGTTGTATTTTTTTTTAAATGGAACACCCTGTATATTATTACATTTTAAGTTTCTGCGATTAAAATAAAGACAAATTTGATTAAGGTTTACCGCACTTTAATCTTACCGTTTTTGAAAAATTTACGATTTTGTGAAAATGCAGTAACAATTTTACTGCTTCTTTTTTCTAGACGTATTTAAGTTTTCAAAACCAAGTATTGTTCTGAAGTTTTTCTATTTACTAAATTTCGTGTTGCAATAATAAAAATAATACCACCTTATACAGAGTGTCTAAAAATTTATATTAAATAATTGCTAGCTTTAAACGGCAATAACTTGTTTAATTCAAATGAAACACCCTGTATATTTTACAAGAATCCGATGCACAATTTAATTGTCTCTCAAATTGTATTGTACCATTATTTACCTATTTCTTTAAGTTTTTGTAGAAAATACATTTTCTTATAATGTAGACCTCATTTATCAATACAGGGTGGTCCATCGAAAACGTTCCGCAAGGCATAACGGACAGGATATTTTTTTTTCAAAAAATTCAAAAACACGTTAATTTTGTTTGTGAGGGGGACAACTTTTGCCCCAAAAATGCTTGCAAAATCTTCAACCCTCTAAGTGGTTGTGTCATCCCCCAACTTTTTTCAAATGGGAAGGGGGGTCAAGTGGCGCCGCAATGAAAAGAGCTTTCTATTCTCTATATTTCCCCGCTTCGTTTTTGAAAATCGGTCAAGTTATTGAGAACATATGAAGGATTGAAATTTTAAAAGTTTATTTAAACAGTTATCAGAGTAAATTATAAGGATAAATTCCTTCGACCAATTTGCTGTGTTTTCTTATTATTTCTAGATGTATACGCATTTTTTCACTTGCCACAAGGTTGAACGATCAGGTGCGGTCTCAATATCGTTAAAGACCCACAATAGAATTTCCAAAAATACCAGCCCTCGACGATCAAAATCGTCTTCGTTGAGTTCTTGTACCAACTGAATTTTGTACTGGTGGAACTTGTGTTTTTTTAATATCCTTTGGACACTTGTACGATTCACGCCGGTCTCATTGGCTAATTTTCTTGTAGATACTCAGCGTACTATCCATGGCAACTTGGTGCAATACGAATACCTCCATAATTTCATTTACTACAGAATTTTCCCTCTGCCTCTTTTTATTCATAACGGAACCAGTTTCGCGAAATTTTGCTACTAACTCGCGAACAAATTTGCCATAAAAATGTTTGTCAGGATGGCGTTCATTGAATATCTGCGCAAACCGATTGCCACATTCATTATTTTTAAAATAAAGTTCGATTATTTCTACTTTTTCTGCAAGTGAGTACACCATAATTGTTAAAAAGTTTAACGATATTGAGAAGAACTTGAACGCACAAGTCACAAAACAGCTATCTAGCAATTACCGCACCTGGTTGTTCAACCTTGTGGCAAGTGAAAAAATGCGCAAACATCTAGAAATAATAAGAAAAAACAGCAAATTGGTCGAAGGAATTTATCCTTATCATTTACTCTGATAAATGTTTAAATAAACTTTTCAAATTTCAATTCTTCATATTTTCTCAATGACTCTACCGATTTTCAAAATCGAAGCGGGGAAATATAGAGAATAGAAAGTTTTTTTCATTGCGGCGCCACTTGACCCCCCTTCCCATTTGAAAAAAGTTGGGGGATGACACCCCCGCTTAGAGGGTTGAAGATTTTGCAATCATTTTTGGGGCAAAAGTTGTCCCCCTCACAAACAAAATTGACGTGTTTTTGGATTTCCTGAAAAAAAAATTACCCTGGCCGTTATGCCTTGCGGAACGTTTTCGATGGGCCACCCTGTATACCCATGGAATATTTACATTTTAGATTTTTTTTTAAGTACCTAACATATTAACAAAATATACAGATGTTGAAAACGCCAATACTTCTAGACCATTTGTTTACAAAAAAAAAACTGGTACTGGTACTCTTTGAAAATGTGTTATGTCTTAAAAAATAATTTGAAATGTCAATATTCCATGAGTATATTGATAAATAAGGTCTAAATTATAATAAAATGCATTTTCTACGAAAACTTGAAGAGATATGCAAAAAATGGTATAATAAAATTTGATAGACAATTAAATTGTGCATCTGATTCGCGTAAAATATGGGTGTTCCGTTTAAATTAAAGAAGTTATTGCCTCGTACTATACAACCCTTTGTACTTAATAACACCACTATTGACGTCGTGGACTCTGTGAAATTGCTGGGGTATTTGCTGCGCAAAAAATTTTGATCGCATTTTCAGACTTCAAAAGAGAGCAGTTCGATATTTAGGGACTGAACAGTAGAACTCACTGCCAGAATTTCTTTAAAAATTTAAAAATATTGGCTCTTCCCGCTTTATTCATTTTTGAATCCGTTTGCTTAATCCGCAAGCACATATCTGCTATTCCCGAAAGGCCATCTCATAACTATCCACTTAGGAATGCGGAGCACGATCTTTATCTGCCAACCCCGAGCTCAGAACTAGTTAAAGGTTCAATACTGTACAACGCAAAAAAAATGTACAATCATCTGCCTTATATATTATATCTGCCTATATGCGGTAAACGACTTTTTTGTTGATGTTTAATTATGAACAATTTTGAATTTTAAAATTTTGATCATCTCACACACTGGTCAAAGGTCAAGTATTTAATATTTTATAACTTTTAAAGTTATATCTATTATATAAAAAAATATATTAATTATATCTATTTACTGCTTACTGTTCTGCAATTGTCCATGTTTTGTAATTTTAATGACTTAATTTTTTTTGAATTGTATGATTTGTGTTGTGTATTTTTTGTTGTTTGTATATATTTTTTGTGCTTTTGTTTGTTTTGTGAGTGCTTTGTTGGTGCTTGATGAAGCTGTTTTGGCTTTTTGCACAATAAAGCGTTGTTTGTTGTTGCCGTTTAAAGCTAGTAATTATTTAAAATAAACTTTTAGACACCCTGTATAAGGTAGTATTATTTTTATGCAACACAAAATTTAATAAATAGAAAAACTTCAGTATAATATTTGGTTTTAAAAACTTAAATATGCCTAGAGAAAGGAAGTATTAAAATTATAGTTACTGTATTTTCACAAAATTGCAAATATTTCAAAAGTGCGGTAAAAAGCCTAAATTACCTTTATTTTAATCGCAGAAACTAAAAGAAATGCAACTTCGAAATTTTTTATTAATTTGGGACATTCTGTACTTTTTAAAAATAATTTTAATTTAATGGCTTTAGTAGTCCAGTCACAGTTTCCAAAAATCTAATCATTTGGCTACAATACTCATTGAGTCGAATGAGATGAATAACCCTGTATACTAACGTACAAAATTTCGTTTTCCTATCTGAAAAATAGATATGGTTTGCATTTGAAAAACACCTGGTATATCTACTTTTGTGTTTTATTACTTTAATTTCAATTAAATATTTTTTTAAATTTTTTTTTTCAAACATATTGCTTTAAATTCAAACATATTGCTTATGACATTATTAATATACTTAATTGTAATTATATGTAATTATGAGGAAATTGTTTGTATGTTTGAGCTTTAATAGATTAAATAACGCTTTCATTTTGATGCAATTTGTTTACAAATAATGTCCACAAACTCATCCAGTTACTTTTCATTACACTTAATTTGTTCGAAAGCAGAGTGTACTGAAAACATGCAAGAATGATAAACATATTTTTTAGTACCATATCTCTAGTAACTTTTTCAAAATACGTCATGTTTTTGGGCATAATTCCTATAGCTCAAACCCTATAGTTTCCAACAAGAACGTTTGGTGTACGAAAAATATTACAAATGCCAAGTTGTGATATTATCGTTGTTTCTGATCATAGATTGTATTGTGTCGATTTACCAAAAAACAGAAGCACCAAATGACATAGAACATAGGTTCTTATACCAGCTTATGGATGGCTCGGCTGTTGTTATAGGCCATATTTTGGTTATATCAACCGTTTTGAGTTCATACTGTAAAAGATCGGAGTGGGAGATGTTTCTGAGAAGTTTATCTAAAATTGATGTAGACACGAATAATGTATTAATACACAAAAACACAAAGAAATCTAGAAAAGGAGCTCTGGCTTTATTAGCCATAACTTTGATGTACTGGTTTGTATTCGTTCTTGGAGCTTTGAGATGGATTGACCGGTTCAAATTGCTTTTTAAGGAACATTACCTCTCATTTATGCTTATCTCAATGGAATACCAACTGATAACATTCTATTACGTGCTAATAATAAGTTATTTCATTTATAACCTTCTATTACTAATCAGAAACCAGTATTTTAATATCTCAGATATACTAAAACAGGTTGACATAATGAAGAGTGATGTCGGATTGATGAGGGGATTGTTAAGAAACGTGGATAGAATGTTTTATGATTTGTATATGGTCAGCAAGTACTTTAGGTCGATTTTTTCTTTGCAAATGTTTCTGAACCTCAGTGCTACGTTTTGTTTCGGCTTGGGGTACTGCATTTATGTTTATAACAGTTCGCTGACTGAAGTGATTGATATGGTGTTTGTAGTCATTTATTCTGTAAGTATATCTGTCAGTTCTTAGTGTAATATTTTTTGTTTCATGAGGTATTTTTGTTCTAAGTAGGTGTCTAAAATATCAAGTGTGCTATATTTTTGGAAAGGTAATTTTAAATTCTTTTCAGTTAATTAAAAATATAGAGGGTGCCCCAAATAAAAAATCAATTTTTCTGTTGATAACTCTTAAATTATTAATTTAAAAAAAAAATATACTTAAACCATTAAATTCTACGTGAAAAGGTGCTTTGGAAATGTTTTCATAGAAATACAAAATTTTCCATAGCAAAAAAGTTACAGGGATTTGTTAAAAATGCACATGTTTGAAAAACATCCCGTAATTCCGAAACGGTAACAGATACTGATGTGCGGTTTTCACCATCATGTTTTTGATGAAAACTGAGCTCCAGACACCGGTATTAGTTTTCGTCTATCTCCTATAGAAAAGGGTGTTTCCATTTAAAAGCGTCGGATTTGACCCACCCTGTACATCTTATAGCCATACAGCGTCCTGCGAAAAATGAAAAAGATCGCTCAACAAATAACTAAGATATTGGCTTGTATCCAGCCTAAGTGGGACACCCTGTATAAGTTTTAATAGACACTGACTTGAATAAATATGACGTACTTATTTTATCGCTAGTAGGTAATTTATAAATTCTGACCACAAACACATCCAATTACTACAATAATTCATTATACCTAATTGTCGGAAAATAGAGTGTAGTGAATAATATACATGTTAGAATAATGAAGACATTTTTCAATACGGTATCTCTACTAACTTTTTCGAAGTATTTAATGTTTTTGGGTATAATCCCACCTTATAGCTTCAAAAAACAATGTCTGGTGTATAAAAAATATTACAAATGTCAAGTTGTAACGTTATTGTCGTATCTTTTTATAGATTGTGTAATATCGGTGTACAAAAAAACAGATATACCCGGCGAAATAGAAAATAAAATTTTCTACCTCTTTATGGACAGTTCGACGATAGTTACAGGTCACATTTTAGTAATAGCAATTATTCTGACGTCATACTGCAAAAGATCACAGTGGGAGATATTTTTGAGAACTTTTTCTACACTCGATGTCGAGACAAATAAAATTTTAATACAGAAAAACAGGAAAAATACAAACAAAGGAGTTCTAGTTCTTACATCCATAACTTTGACGTACTGGTTTCTGCTATTTCTCGGATGTCTCACATGGATTGACAGGTTTAAGCGAGTTTTTAAAGAGTATTACGTGTCCTACGTGTTTTTTTCTATGGAGTACCAATTGATCACGTTTTACTACGCGCTAATAACTATCTTTTTTATATATAATCTGCTATCATTGATTAGGAACCAGTACTTGAATGTAACAGATATACTAACGCAGCTTGAATTAATGGATACTGATATAAAATTGATGAAGGAGTTGTTAAGAAACGTGGACAAGTTGTTTTACGATCTGTATATTATTAGCAAGTATTTTAGGTCGATGTTTTCTTTGCAAATGTTGCTGAATCTATGCTCCACATTTTGTTTTGGTTTGGGATACTGTCTCTATATTTATAACACTTCTTTGGGTCGAGTGAGTGACTTGGTCTTTGTATTTATTTACTCGGTAAGTATATTTTGCGTTTAATTTAATTGTGACAGAACCAAGAATTCCTTGGTCTTAGTCATAGATTTATGAAAAACAGATATCACATTATGCATTTTAACCCGATCAAACATTCGGAGGTTGACGATGTACTGTAAAAACCAACTGAGATAGAGAAGGCGACATTGCCACATATCAAATTTGCGCCTATCTACTTAGTTTGATTTGCAGAAAAGGTTACTTTAAAACCTTCACCGGATATCAATAAATCACAATTTCTTAATTAAATTAATAGTTTATTTTTAAAGAAGCATGCGTTATAATATGTTATTAACCAGAGGATATATGCGTTACTATTAAAGGACATGTTTACTGTTTAATGTGCTGAAACGTCTAGAACTATTGGCAACGTCGCTGCTAGTCTTCCAGAATGAAATGAGCCGTCCGTCCCACCACCCCTCGCGACGGCCCTTGGTCCGTTATAGCGTACTACGTTTAGCTTACGGTGTGTTTGAAGTCGGAATCAAGTCCAAAGTGAACTTTTCAGTGTTTTTCAGTAGTTTTTGTTTTTGTTTAACGTACTTTTGAATCTGCGAATTTTCAATATGGTACGACAGTGTCAAATGTGTGAACAAATAAGCTCAAATTACCCGAATTTGTCTTTCCACAGGTAGGTATTGTTTCCGCCGTGCCGTAATCGTACATAGGCGTCCCACAAGGGAGCCTCTCACAATTAAAATAATTTCTAATTATATTTGTTGAATTTTGATCTACTGAAACAAGAACGTAGTAGCCGGTAATTGAATTATAATTCGTCTCAATTACTACCTAACTGTTGTAGATCATAACAAATTTGAATATAAACGTTACATTTGAAACTTTATTATAGGCCAGAAAGTGAGATTTTTTTCTTAAAATTGCGTCCTATTTTGGTCATATCGTATATAATGACCATTATATTCTAAAGAAATTTTGCTCAATAAATAAACATAGGTGTTTACCCGTCCTTTTTTACATTTTATTGCTTTATTATATCTGCCCATTCGGCCTTGTTTAGACAATTTTTTACCACCGTACAAATACATCTTCCAAGAGTTATTTGTACGGTGTGTTTAACTTTTTTTAGAATGGGATGAACTGTAAATAATTCTTAGGCTACTAGTTTTATACATACCTATATAGAGAGTGACCCAGGCCTCCAAAAAAGCTTTTTACCTATTACGTTTTTGGTTTGTGATTTTTATTTCAATTTTTTACATAAGATGGGGGCCATTGTAACGCACATTTTCAAAATATTTTTGTCAACATACAGGGTGATTCAAACCGCAATACATATGCTTAATACAGTTCATGAAGATTAGGACATTTAACTAAAATTTGATTTTCTGATGAAGCTACCTTTAAAAGTAATGGATTTGTAAATAAACGTAATAGGTATTCATTATTATGCGACAGAAATCCCATACTGTAGCACACAGATTTTATACTTTTAATAATAAATGCCTTCTATTGCGAGACTAAAAGGAAATTGCCTCGTATCAGAGCCATCATAATACAAGAAGAAGACCGAAAGTCAAATCTTGTCTTATATTTTCAAAAAAAACACAATTTTCTCATTAAATATTAATTTTAGGTATAGGAAGTTATTAATAATAAAAGATTAAACAACTATTACACAGTACTTCACAGGAAGCTATCGATTGCGAACTAACTAAATCGTTACTAATTAGGTACTAATTTTGAAAAGTTCTTTTTAAGATAAAAAAGGTAAAACTAAAACCTAAACTATCATTTGAGATTAAACGGGAAGTTCTAATTAATGTTGCCTATTCTAAACAAGAAAAATTTATTTATAAGTTAAGTTTTATAACATTCCTAATTAAATTTGGGCGAAAAGAATATTTCTGTTTGCTGTAGGTAATTTTCTAAGGGAAAATGCGTAAATAAAAATCACTTTTTAAGTCAATAAAAGTCAAAAGGACAAGTTATTCCAAAAAAGGACTGTCCTTTTCAAAAAAGGACAAGTGGCAACCCTAGGTATTTCGGGAATGGAAATTTAATGGCAAATCTACAACTTTGGTTTGAAAATATGTTCCGGCCATATATGTTTACAAAAATGTATAAAATGTACCTAAATGCCTCCATATTCTGAAAAAAAATTGAAAGAAAAGTCACCAACCACAAATCTAATATAGAACTGTTTCGGAAGCCTGAGTTACCCTGTAAATATTCAAAAGTAACTGAAAGTTTATATAGAAGTAACTGAAAGTTTAAATTGAAAATCGACGTTGCAGCGATTTTCGAAAACTACTAACGTTTCAACATAAGTATATTTGGGATATTAATTGTATTATTATATTAGACCTTATAACAAAACTCATCTGACGAAAAAGTGTTAATGTAGTATATTAATATGGAGTAAAAATTTTACTAATTACTTTACTTTTACTTTACTAATTAAATTCGTTCCAAAAAACGATACGCCACTGGCCATTAGAACAATCCAAATGCGCCTAGTTGCCGGGGTCGGAAATTTTAGACTTCTCTGTCTCTTCTGTCCTTGTTTGACACATTGGAATGTTTGATACACTACCAACGAGTATTTATGAATGAGATGTTCGGTCTATCTTTATAAAGTCTTTGGTCTTAGTCTTGCACAGCTCTTGTGAAGCCTTAGTTTATACTTGTTGAAGTGATGAAACTTCTTTTCGCGCGATGGGAGTAAAAATTGAAGGCCGCGACACACGAGACGCGAGAGGAAAAGTGGTTACGTTAACTTTTTGATCTTTATTATGATTTCTATGTGAGCTAGGGGGCTGAAACTCTGAATATAGATGAGGCTCTAAGAGCCCCCCATCTTTTTATGGTATTTTGACAACCTTTCGTGCCTACGAAACTTTATCATCAATGAATCAGATCAAAAAATTGCCCGATTTAAATGAAATTTTGTATGTCGGACCAAGTCCAAGGGTGTATTCCGTTGCTTACCTTGGTTATGGTTTTATGTTCAGTTTCTATCGGTTTCCTGAAAGTTTTCTTATTACGGAACACGGTTCCTGAAAAATTCGGTTATAACTGTCACCATGACTGTCACCAAACTAACCACCGCGAGAAGGCTGATTTTTCTGGTTTTGTTTGTCAATCAATGTCATTTATGTAAGAGAAAGAGAAATCAAGCAAATATATTGGAAGTTCGAGTGAAATTCTCATTTAATTTCTAAAATTTGTTATAATATTTTGTATTTACATCCAAAAGCAATGAAGGTATAGTACAATTCTTTTAAAAGTTCATCAATATGGCCGACCTAGTTAGGAAAATTGGTAATTTTTTTTTAATGAAAAATAAGTTGGCGTTAGCGAATTAAGAAATTGATTTAGTCTTTGGTTAACAATAACATTTTTCAGGATTGTCAA